TTCATTCATTCATTCATTCATTCATTCATTCATTCATTCATTCATTCATTCATTCATTCATTCATTCATTCATTCATTCATTCATTATCATAACTTAAATCAGTTTGTTCGCAAAAGATAATCAGTTTTAAATTTGCACCTGATTACTACTTTTTTGAAAGTGTCATTAAAATATGTTTTTTTGGATTGTGATACATTTTACTGACAGGCAGACATACTGTATGAACATAATCCCACAACATTGCTTGCCTTGAAGCAACAGATGATAATAATGTGTGATAATAATGCGGCGTAATAATAAAGCAAAGTAGTGTCTTGCCTGCAAACACAATATTAGAAGAATAAAGAGGCCGTGACACCAAAGATCTTTGATGTAAAAAAAAAAACAACTTCTCCTGCTTCCACTTTCCCACCCCAGGCTGCTTTGGTTAATCACTGCGCCGCACTCTGGCCCCGGTCCAAGCCTCGTCTATCTCCACATCAAAACACCACTTCAGCTTATCGTGAAGTGGTTGGCACCACGCACAACAGGTTTCTGAAAGGGAGGAAAGAACGCGTTGGTTTTTGACTCGGCAGTCTCGAAGTCACCTCGTCAGCCTCAAGCCCAGTAATTATTTTTCTTTCAAACATAGTTTCCATTTGAGGCTTGCAACAGAAAAGGCCTTGGTGCTGCATCGTGGCTGCGAGGTATGCCACTTTCCAAGAGTTCTGATTATTCCCATTGTGCAGGTGACTGTAGTGTCTGCCGTGACCAAATAGGACTGCTTTTCTTCTGCTGCACCCAGTTTGTGATGCCACACTCACGAATTTCCACAGACAACAAAGAAACAAAGAGTCTGACAAAAGGAACTGGGTTCTAACAGTAAAGGATTTTTAGATGGTTGTTATGAAGGTAAATCAAGTGTAACAACTTTTGTAAATATAGGAGCACAAAACAAGCAGTCAAACAGTCAGAGAGTGGAAAACAAACCAGCATGATGAATATTAGCTTTACCTTTTTATTTAACTCTGAAAGTAGAATTGATCTGAGTATTACCTTGGAGTTATGATCAACTAAAGATTTTAGTGCAATTATTGAATAAAACTGTTACATAAAGACTAACTCTTAATGTAATAATTTTCTAACTGAGATGATCTATTTTTCTTCTATGCATTTTTCGACATGTATCTATTTTTGTGCTATTTCAACAATTCATGTATCAAAAACATTCATCTCCTCCAGGCTATACTTTTCAGCCGTGCATGTTTTTGAGGTATTTAGATTTATCGTCCATTTTCTTTCTCATTGAAAATGAATGGAGCTGTCTGCAACATCCTGAAAATCCATCACAATGGTTCAACCTTTCCTGCACCTTTCAACTTTTGTTCTGGTTCTGCTTTATTTAACTGTTTTGTGCTAATTTCAGCTTTGGTTTTTGCTAATTTCTTTGCCTTGCCAGCTTTATCTTTCTGTTCTTTTCAGCTATTTGCTAATTATTTTTTGTGCTTCTATTAGCTTCTATCAAATATGAACTTTTGAAGCTTCTTTCAGCTGCGTTTTTTTTTTTTTTTTTGTAACAGAAGCTACTTTTTACCCCTTTTCAGGTAATTTGAGCTTTTTCAGCTAAAATCACCTTTTTGGGATAGTTTCAGCTTCTTACTGCCTAATTCAGCAAACACGTGCTTTTGCTTTTTTGTGCAAGATTCAGCCTCTCCGCTACTTTTTTTTCTCTCCAGATACTTTTCTATTAATCTCAGCTTTTTTGGCAATTTTTAAAAAACAAACAAAAAAAGGCAACATTTTTTTATATCCTTTTTTTGTTTGTTTTTTCTGCAAAAATTGTACAGCATTAAGCATTTGTGCTGCGTTTGTGCAGAAAATGCACATTCTTAAGTGAATGAGTAGCTATTTGTTTGTACAGCAAAGTGCTGACTTATTACACTTTCTCGCCGCAGGCTCCACTCATGAATAATCTGCTTCATTTGTTCGTTACATTTTTATGTTTTTAAAACAGATTTTGTGTTGATACTTTCCACTTGGAACCACGAGGGCTTTTCTTCTCTCAGTGATTGCTATTAAAGCTGAATTATCTGTCATCTTAACTGGAACTGTTTTCACTCTCAGGTGACAGCCATGTCAGCTCAAACTGCCTCTGGCGGGGGGTGAGGGGGGGTGGATATGCTCCAGCCAGTAGTCCACAAACACATCTGTCTTTAAAATGTGCAAGGGAGCAGTGTGTAAACATTTTTGAGATGTACTTGCTTTTTGTACATTCCCACAAGTACCCTCGCCAAGCAGAGCTGGGGAGAAAAACTGAAAGAGCCCGAGAAGAATTATGTGTTTGCCACTAACACTAACAATCCTGATTGAAGCGTGGAAACAAGCAGCTTCCTGTTGTCTTTCTGGTTCTGCAGATTTCTCAACAGAGATAAATGCCTGAGTGGGGCTGCTCTGGTCTGCAGCAAGGGGAATGACAGTCCTCACCTTAATCCTCGCTTGGCTGTGCTTCCGAGATCCCCGTGTAATGACAGAGATTTCTCATGTGGCACTTGAGCAGCAATTACTCTTTTACCACACACCTATTGTCATATGAATCATGTTTACACCTGATGGCCGTTGACACCAGGACTGTTGGGTTAAATTTAAAAAGATTTGGAGCTCAGAAGAACCGTAAGTGGCTTTTTATTATTTTTTTACAAAAATCAAACTTTGCTTATTTTGCCATCAGCAACAACTAAATGTTTTACTTTGGAGGAAATGGACCAACTTGTTTTACTGCTGTTAATGTGTCGGGCCCTCAGCAGACACAGGGCAGGTCTCAGGAAAGAGAGGGGTCATGGTTAATACCTCTGTTTAAAAACACATCTGCATCTCAATGACCTGCCCATTCCCTCTTTGTCTTCCACACATGCCTGCACACACATCCCAAATAATCCCACCCAGACTCTTCAGATTGGTCCCAGAAACTATTAGCAGATAGCATCAGTGCATTCAGGAATGTAAACATTTACAGTAAAGCTAAAAGACATAGACTCCCCCTTGGGGGGGGACACATCCATCACACAGCAAAGCACAACAGCACTCAGAAGCTCCCGTGGTTTTAAAAAGGAATTCAACATTTCTACTCAATTTGAAAGGATTCTGCGTAATCAGCCCGTATTGTTCTGTTTGACATGATGATGGCTACGCTGCTGTAAAAATGTAATGATGAACTTTAACTTCAGCAGAGAAGGAAGGCTTTATTGCAGATTAGTTTGCATCTGTTGACAAACCTTGTTTCTGCCCACAGCAGCAGTTTTAACGTCACATAATTTCATGTTTTTTTGTTTTTTTTTTAGAAAATGCAATGACCTCAGATCTGTTTGGACAAGCTGAAGATTGAATCATGGACAAGATTGGAAAGGATAAATAGATGAGCCCACCCAGATTTTATAAACTGCTGGATCGTTCCTAAAAATGTGAGGCCTCTGATGTGGATATACATTTTCATGCACACAGTGTAAGAAAAACAAAACCCAAAACAATAAAAACAGAGCATAAACAGTTCTAATCCTGAATGTCGTTTTTATTGTAGAGGAATTTTCTTTTAATTTAGTTTCACTTAATTAACTTAAAAAAAACTTTAGCTGTTTTTTAATTAAATCAGTTTCAGTAGATAAAATGCATGTAGGTTATAAGTAAAAATAAATAAATAAAAACAACGCTATTATTTTATATAATTATTAAATAATTTCAAACTATGGTCCATAACAACAGTGGCAAACACTTTTTGCAGCAACTTGTCCTAATGCATGCATTCTAAAAGTTTTTTCTTTAAAAAAATCTACTTTTATTTGGTTATTTGTTTATTTGTTTGTTTGTTTATTTTATGATACACATAAGAAATGCAAATGAAGCTTTATGCACATTTCTTGTAAAGGTAAATGTCCATAAACTAAACTAAACTAAACTAAACTAAACGAAACGAAACGAAACGAAACTAAACTAAACTAAACTAAACTAAACTAAACTAACTAATGATATGTTTTCTGCCTTGCCTTTTGTTACAAGCTGTTTTACGTTTGTTCAAAATTTGCTGCAAAAAACATATATATATATATATATACGGTATGTTTACACACCTTTTTTTACCAGGGTCTTATCTTCTATATGTTTAATACAAATTTTAAATTTAATTTCTTTTGACAATTATAACCTTTGATTGATGCATTCAAGCCACAAATATACTCCAGATTCAAAATTGTGCTGCAAGTAAGAAAACCTTCATGATGACTTTATCAGCTTACCTATTTGGTTAAATAAATAAATAAATAAATAAATAAATAAATAAATAA